TGGCGGTCAGTTTCAGCAGTGGCTGAATCTGGACGCCAGTTCCGACTTACATACAGATTCAACTTAAGAACAAACCTACAGTCCCTATCTTGTACTTAACCCGGGGACTGCCTGTACTTGAAAGCTGCCATTGTGTCTCCTCTCAATCTTCTCTTTTCTAAACTACACAAATCCAGTTCTTTCAGTCTCCCCTCATAGGTAATCGGTCAGTTTCAGCAGTGGCTGAATCTGGACGCCAGTTCCGACTTACATACAGATTCAACTTAAGAACAAACCTACAGTCCCTATCTTGTACTTAACCCGGGGACTGCCTGTACTTGAAAGCTGCCATTGTGTCTCCTCTCAATCTTCTCTTTTCTAAACTACACAAATCCAGTTCTTTCAGTCTCCCCTCATAGGTAATGTTTTCTAGACTTCTAACTATTTTTGTTGCTCTTTTCTGGGCCCTCTCCAATTTCTCTACATCTTTCTTTAAATGTGGTGCCCAGAACTGGACACAACACCCAATTTGAAGCCTAACCAGTGAAGAGCAGAGCAAAAGAATTACCTCTTACGTCTTTCTCACAACACTCCTCTTAATGCATCCCAGAATCACGTTTGCTTTTTTTGCAAGTGTCAAACAGCTGACTCATATTTAGCTTGTGGTCCCTATATTCCTTTCTGTAGTACTCCTTTTGAGACAGTCGCTTCCAATTTTGTAAGTGTGAAATGGATTGTTCCTTCCTACGTGGAGTATTTTGCATTTGTCCTTATTAAACTTCATGCTATTTGCCTCAGAACCTCTCTCAACTGTCAATTGAATCATAATGTAAATGAAGAGGAAATGATCTTGGACAGTGGTCTTTAAAAATTAAAAAGTGTCTTGTGTTAAAGAGCCTTTATTTCTATATTCTGCTTTCCATGTGGATCTGGCTTTGCCACGGGGTTGAATTTTGCTTAAAGACTGCAATCATTTATACAGATGTTTAAGTGATGATTAAATTAATTGGAGTGCACCAGGGAGAACGTATTGTTCTCTCCAAAACATTTTTCTCTGAGCACTCTGCTAGGTGCATCCAGCTCTGTAAAAACAATGTACGTTAATCAGCCATAGTATAAGCCCTAACCAAGCACCTCAAAACAAATTCCAGTGCCAATTCTGGATCTCTCTGGAGAGATCCCTTTTAAGAGGTTGCAGACTCAAGACATAGAATGTTAAAAGCTGATTACAAACAAGTTAAAATGGACAAAGTACTAAACAGAGATCAACCAACGCCCCCTCATTTGTTCAGAGAAACAAAGCAGCAGAATTTTCCCTGCTCTGAAATCCTCTCATGGCCCTCACATTTATTTCTAAAAAAGAAAATAATCCTTTGATTTCAAAAGTACAGTTTAGAAATGGAGACAAAATACTATTTGATCTGATTTCAACATTATTCTGATAATTGCACCAAAGTAGCCCATTTCTTTTGATACTATACATGCTGATGAATACTATTAGTTTATGTCTAGACTGATCCTCCAGATCTTTTTCACGGCAAACCATTTCTAGCCACTGGTCTCAGCTTGCTGCAGCGAGACCTACATTTTTACATTCTTTTGATCAAAACACTTTAAAAAAAAAAAGCACATTAAGCAATGACTAAGGCCGAGGGGGAAGAGATGTGATAAGAGGATATAAATATTTGAACAGTAAACAGCAAGCGGAGAACCGAATATGGGGGAATGACAGGAATAACTGCATGAAACTTGGAAAGGGAACACCTAAACTGGCGTTATTAAAAAGTATGTCCAAAAAGTTAGAGCCACAGACTGTGGTATAGCCCCTCCAAAGAAAGAAGATGAAGCCATATATTTTTAGGGGTGGCCAAAACTATATCCTTCAAAGAAAGAAGACGAAGCCATATATTTTTAGGGGTGGCCAAAACTATAAATATAACAGAACAACCCAACTAAGATGGGGCAGTATAAATGCATGGTAAGAGTTACTCCTGACCTGGGTTAGCTTAGATTAGAACCTAAACCAATGGTCACCAAGCAGTAGATCTAGAACTACAGGTAGATCATGGAGCCTCTGACAAGCGATCGTGACTGGTTGACTATCAAATGCTGGCCCTACCCCCACAGCCATGCTTATAACAGAACAACCCAACTAAGATGGGGCAGTATAAATGCATGGTAAGAGTTACTCCTGACCTGGGTTAGCTTAGATTAGAACCTAAACCAATGGTCACCAAGCAGTAGATCTAGAACTACAGGTAGATCATGGAGCCTCTGACAAGCGATCGTGACTGGTTGACTATCAAATGCTGGCCCTACCCCCACAGCCATGCTTTTC